AGGATACCGTTCATCCCTTGCATTTTTAAAAAAATTTAATCTATTTGCTCCATCTAGTGGGAATTCTAAAAAATGCAAGAGACCCTGTTGTTCCATTGATCCATCACAATTCACATTTTATTTGCCTTCCTTGCATTTCAGTGCTAAATACAAGGTTTTTTTTTTACAAAAACAATTCTGTACCATTTATTCAGTGCCCTGAGAGCTGTCAACACTTATGTAGGAAAAGTGGTTGGTATTTACAATTATGTTGTTCGATCAGGATGCAAAGTGTCATAACGTTCTAGTGAATGGTGGTGTTTTGGTAGCTCCAGCATACAATAGCTACATGGAAAGTGCAGCTGGGGCTACTTTTCCAGAAAATACCTATTTGGACACACGGCCTTTCAAATAAGAATAACAGGCCAATGTTGACAGGAAGTTAATGAGACTGCAAGAAGCCTTCATCACCTGGTGTAAAAAACTGCTACTATTTTCAGAGATAGTAGGAACTGCAGATGCTGGAGAATCTCAGATAACAAGGTGTAGAGCTGGATGAACACAGCAGGCCAAGCAGCATCAGAGGAGCAGGAAGGCTGACGTTTCGGGCCTACACCCTTCTTCAGAAATGGGGGAAGGGGAAGGGGGTACTGAAATAAATAGGGAGAGAGGGGGAGGCGGATAGAAGATGGATAGAGGAGAAGATAGGAGACAGACAGGTCAAAGAGGCGGGGATGGAGCCAGTAAAGGTGAGTGTAGGTGGGGAGTTAGGGAGGAGATAGGTCAATCCAGGGAGACAGACAGGTCAAGGGGGCGGGATGAGGTTAGTAGGTAGGAGATGGGGGTGGGGCTTGAGGTGGGAGGAGGGGATAGGTGGGAGGAAGAACAGGTTAGGGAGGTGGGGATGAGCTGGGCTGGTTTCGGGATGCGTTAGGGGGAGGGGAGATTTTGAACCTTGTGAAGTCCATATTGATACCATTGGCCTGCAGGGTTCCCAAGCGGAATATGAGGTGCTGTTCCTGCAACCTTCGGGTGGCATCGTTGTGGCACTGCAGGAGGCCCAGGATGGACATGTCATCTGAGGAATGGGAGGTGCAGTTCTTTAGTGCGAACCAAGTGTGGGTGTTCTGCAAAGCGGTCCAAGCCTCCTCTTGGTTTCCCCGATGTAGAGGAGGCCACAACGGGTACAGCGGATGCAGTATACCACATTAGCAGATGTACAGGTGAACATCTGCTTGATGTGGAAAGTCTTCTTGGGACCTGGGATGGGGGTGAGGGGGGAGGTGTAGGGGTAGGTGTAGCACTTCCTGCGGTTGCAGGGAAAAGTGCCAGGTGTGCTGGGACTGGAGGGGAGTGTGGAGCGGACAAGGGAGTCCCGGAGAGAGTGGTCCCACCGGAAAGCAGATAAGGGTGGGGAGGGAAAAATGTCTTTGGTGGTGGGGTCGGATTGCAGATGGCGGAAGTGTCGGAGGATGATGCGTTGGATCCGGAGGTTGGTGGGGTCGTACGGGAGGACGAGGGGGATTCTGTTTTGGTTGTTGTTATTGCAGGGAGGGGAGTGTGAGGGATGAGTTGCGGGAAATGCAGGAGACACGGTTGATGGCGTTCTTGACCACTGAGTGGGGTGGGGGGTAGTTGCGGTCCTTGAAAAACGAGGACATCTGAGATGTACGGGAGTGGAATGCCTCATCCTGGGAGCAGATGCGGCAGAGGCGAAGCAATTGGGAATAGAGGATGGCATTTTTGCAGGAAGGTGGGTGGGAGGAGGTGTATTCTAGGTAGCTGTGGGAGTTGGTGAGCTTGAAATGGATATCGGTTTCTAGGTGGTTGCCAGAGATGGAGACAGAGAGGTCCAGGAAGGAAAGAGAGGTATTAGAGATGGTCCAGGTGAACTTAAGGTTGGGGTGGAAGGTATTGGTGAAGGGGATGAACTGTTCGAGCTCCTCGTGGGAGCACGAGGCGGCGCCGATACAGCCATCAATGTGACGGAGGAAGAGGTTGGGTTTAGGGCCAGTGTAGCTACGGAAGAGGGATTGTTCCACGTAACCTACAAAGAGGCAGGCATAGCTTGGGCCCATGCAGGTACCCACCCCCTTTGTCTGTAGGAAGTGGGAGGAATTGAAAGAGAAGTTGTTGAGGGTGAGGACGAGTTTGGCTAAGCGGATGAGGATGTCAGTGGAGGAGGACTGGTCGGGCCTGCGGGACAGGAAGAAGTGGCGGGACAGGAAGAAGTGGAGGGCCTTTATTTCACTTCAATTGTATTGGAGGGGACAGAGCAAGACTTGCAACACAAAAATCAATGGATTCCGTTTGAGGGCTGGTATTCAAATCTCAGAATTAGCCATTGTCTGATCCTCACAAACCAGTTTGTCCAGTTACTTTGGATGGAGAATTTATAGTAAAGTTGCTTTCCATTGCAGAGGGCAGGAGAGGGTAACATGACACACCTTCCTTAAAAAGAAACATTCCCAGTGGGTAAGTCCTGTGTGTGGGATGTATTGCAACAATCGGTCAAATTGATTTCCCAGGTATAGAGTTACCCACAATATCCATTTTCAGAATGACTGGAGGATATTTTACACTGACAAGTGATTGTTTTACAGGGTGGTTTAGCTGGCTCTCTAAGACAGTCCACCATCTACATGCACAAGTAAACAGTGTGTTAGAATACTCCCCACTTGTCTGGAGTGCAGCTTCAATTACACTTGAGAAACTTGACATTATCCAAGACAAGCAGCCCACTTAATTGTCACCCCAACTACCACCTTTAAAACACAACAGCATCGAAAATTACATTGCAGTAACCTACCATAGCTCCCGACAGCATCTTTTAAACCCATGGCCTCTACCATCTGGAAGGGCAAGGGCAGCAGGTGCATATGGTGGTGTTCCCAAGCAAGTTCCCCATCAAGCTATATACTACCCTGACTTTTTAAAATTCATTTACGGGATAAGGGTGTTGCTGGCTAGGCAGCATTTACTGCCCATCTCTAATTGCCCAGAGGGCAGTTAAGAGATAACCACATTGCTGTAGGTCTGGAGTCAGACCAGGTAAGGATTCCAGTTTCCTTTCCTAGAGGGGATTAGTGAACCAGATGTGTTTTTCCCAATAATCAGCAATGGATTCATTGTCATCATTAGACTCTTAATTCAAGATGTTTATTTAATTCAAATTCCATCCTCTTCTGTGGCAGGATTCAAACCGAGGTCCCCCAAACATTATCTGGGTCCCTGGGTTAACAGTCTAGCAATAATACTGCTTGGCCATTGCCTCCCTATATTGCCATTCCTTCACTGTCAGAGTCAAAAACCTGAATCTTGCACCATAACAGCATTAAGGGTTTACGTACACTAAACGGCCTACAGTGGTTCAAGAAGGCAACTCGCCAACACCTTTACATGAGCAGTATGGATAGACAATGTATTTGGCCCAGCTAACAAAGCCCACATTGCCGGAATGAATTTTTAAAAAGTACTCGGGTAAAATTTGGTAGTTAAATTCAGCAGATTTTATTTCATATAACCTCAATCGAACAGGAACTTTGCAGGTTATAAACAGAAATTTACTTGTGTTCTGGGAGTTAGCACTCTAAGTACCAAGGTGGTTGTGTAGTGAGAATGTCACTGGACTAGCAATCCAAAACCCCAGGCTAGAGCTCTGGGGATGTAGCTTCAAATCCCAGAGGTGAAATTTGAACCCAATTAAAAATACCGGCATAGAAGTGACCATGTAACCGCATTTATCATAGAAATGCATCTGATTCAGATGTGCTGTTCTCACCCGGTCTGGACAGTGTGTGACTCCAGACCCATGGCAATGTGGGTGACTCAACCTCCCTCTGGGCAATAAATGCTAGCCTAACCAGAGATGCTGAAAGACGTTAGTATGCATTGCTTCAAAGGACACTGGAGCAATTTTAGCAGTATCACAAAACATGTGACTACCAGTAAAATTACTTGGCATTTATGTAGTGCCTTTAACTTGGGGGAAACGTCCCATGATGCTTCATAGGAATGTGAAGCAAAATTTGAGAAAACCAATGTCTAATGCCTTTTAGCCATATTACACAAAGGAGCTGGAAACTCTTGGAATCCCTTGGCTGATAAGACTGACACCAAATGCTCATTAAATTTCAATATTCTGGAAATTGATTGGAGTTACCTCAGCATAGAACATGCTGTATGGAGAAAAGTTAAAATGCTATTGCACTCCTCTGTAATTTTCAGTTAAAATGTTTTGTATGTAACATTTACAAATTTTATGAAGTATGTTTTTGAAAGCAAATATTCAACACCAAGTCACACAAGGAGGTATTAGGACAGATGGCTAAATACCTGATCATTTGCACATGCCCCTTCACCACTGAAAGTATTCATCACCCCCTTGCTCCCATTTCACCTGTCTGCAGCAGGGTATTTAGAAGGGCATACTGTATATATAGGAATGTCGAACTTCATGCGCTCCAATAAACTTAACTTGCAAGATAAAGGGCTGTTTTATTCAACACTTCCAGATCTCACATTATCTTAATGCCATTTATAGCCACATGCCCATTTCTCTCCCCCAACATCAGTTTAATTTTTAACAAGCTCTATTTGCATAGTTTGATTTTTTAAAAAAAATGCTAGATATCTTGTGACTTAGAAATAGGACAACTGAATAACAAAGTAAAAACATCTGTTTCTACGGATTCTAGCCAATTATTAAATTCTCTGCAACTTTTTAACCTACCAACTGTTCTTTTAAAGTTGTGTTAATACAATTAGCTAAAAGATGTTAAATTACAGACAATGAACATCTCTACTTGCCTCATCTATAATTAGATGTCTTACATTTAACACCAAGAGTCACGTATGCAATTATTACACTGCCATCAAGCAGTTTCAATACCATTGATATAAAAACAAAATCACTTGTTGAATAATGGGACAATAGAAAGGCAGGTGACCAAAAGGACAAACTGCAAGTAGATACTACACTACTAAAAAACAGTCAGAAAATAATTGAATGGCCATGAACATTTTTACATTCCACTGTGTTTTTATTCTATGTTTAAATATACATTGACATTATGCACAAGCTTCAATCAGATTGGAATAGTTTCTAAGTAATCACAATAAGGTGACTAAAGAACTTTCAGCTTCAAATGGGCGCACATTCACAAGCTGTAAACAGTCAAAACATGTAAACAAAAATCACAACAGCAAACAAGTATTAACAGACAGGTAGGATTCATCAGTTGTGGCTCAGCCATTCTGAAAGTACATACACAAAATTAATGTAACATTTTAAAGCTGGAATTTAATGCTGGCCCAATGTTTGATACATTGATAGTTTGGTGTCAGGGGTCGCAGTCAGCTTATATTACAACATACATCAACCAGTACAATTCAAATATTCAGATTCATGTGGATTGGTCAGTTGGTTAAAGGGCACAACAATCTGCAAGATAGTCATTTCTTTTTGCCCAGAACAGAATATATTGAAAAGTACAGAGGTTGACCTTTCCTGACAAAAATCACTATATACAAGCATAACTACAATATTATTTAATGCTGTTTCGATCCCTTCCTCTACACCATAATGACATGAAACATGATCATTGTGCAACAGGTCAAAGGGGTCCCAAAAACAAACTTCTTTTTTCAAAAAAAAGGTAAGTGGGCTTCTTCATACATTGTATTAAGGAGTATATCAGAAACTATAGTAGTATCTAATTCTAAAACCAAATATTGCAGCAAAGCAAGAAAATGAAATAAAGATTATAATGGTTCAAATGTTAAGATATGCAAATATTTTGAGTGCAAATCATTTGATTAAATCAACGAGGACAAGTTTAATTTGGCCATCGAATTTTGTACACAACATAAAGAGAAACACCATGCAAGTTACAATGGCAATACCATTATTGGAAGACAATTCCCAATATTCAACACCCCTGTATCACTCCAATACCAATTTCATTACATAAAGTAAACGCCAAAGACAAAGGTACAAGGAGAAACTTGTATTAACATTCAGTTAAATTAATAGTCACTATAACAATGCAAAATTATGATCTAAGTAGAAAGACAAATCTGGATTAACTGACCATTAATGCTTAAGAAGAGTTGTTTGATTTACAAAACCTTGAAAAAGACAATTCATTCAAATAAAATCAAGAAGATTGGTCATCAACAATGCAGAGTCCAACCCAAAAATGGTGCCGATGGGCTTGTGGGTGGAACTGGTAGGGAAATGGTATTTTAATCCTTTTAAAATAATATTCAAATATAAATTTGAATGGCTGCCACACTGTACATCCCAGATGTACATTTGAGGAGTTTTAAACCTGTATGACTCTTAACCAAAGTAGTCCATTAATTTGGTCATTCCAAAAATATAAAAAACATAGGGTGTTATAATTTCACAGAAATAACCCAGAGCCCAGCGATAGCCAATAATTGCCATGAGAGGCTTATTCAATTAATGCATTAAAAACTGTTCCATTCCTCTGCAGATGCTGCTGGGTTAATCATTATAGAAATCAAAACCATATCATTTACGGAATCTTGGACTGGATATACTGTGTTCGAGAGTTCAACGCACAACAAATAAAAAATTCAGTATGAAGATTTCAACTTGATAATATTTTCTTGGGAATCTGGAGATACAAAAGGTGGCTCTGGGCTCATACCAACACCAAGAGTAATAACTATTCATTGATGGAATTCAGCTCACCTGCCCAAAGTAAGGGTTGGGGGTAACTAATTTGCTGCAAACTGTATGATTGTCTCATAAAATTCCATGATAGAAGCTTAAAACTGAACCAGATAGAAGATGATCTTTATTTTTAGATCTCCAAGAATTACCAGGATCTCTAAGGCAGCTAACATGAATGGCTTTAAAATTTTATCCGAGTCAACAAAATGTGCCACTTTCTCCCCTCAGTACTCCAAATGTTCCCTTTAAACCTAGGTGAAACAAAGTTGAAACCTTAACTATAGGAGAAAAGTGAATGTGGCCAGAATTAAAAATAAGTCACTTGGGTTGTGGGGAAGATATGGGATGTTTGTTCAGTCAAGTAACTGAGATACTGATCTAAAGTGTACAGTTCAAAGTGATTAATATTTCCCATCAAACCAGACAGGAAAAAAAACAAAGAAACTATGTGAAACTGCGCAGCAACCAGAACAATTCTCCTTCTAGTGCAATGCTGCAAAGTACTTTAAATGTCGTTTTAGAATTCCCTTACATTGCAAGAAGATTAACTCCGGTTGCTAAGGTGGGCATCATGAATGCAATTCCAGAAAATCTTCTCCGGAGTAAGTTTAGCAACAACTGAAGTCACTTAGTCAAAATTAATACATTTCTATACATAATTGTGCTTTGTGCACTGAACCTTCATCCTACCTGATAGTGGCCACACATGGTCAAATTTCCTACAACTGAGTCGTAAGTTACATATATCAGTGTTTTTAATAAGTGGTGGTCAAGAATACCATCCAAATGTTGCATTCTAGTGCCCACCTATCTTTTCCCTGAAGTCCAACATCTTGCCCTTCACTTCCCACAAAGTTAAATAAATAAATCTGTAGCTAGTTACAAGTCTTATCCTGCATTGTGTAAAATTACTAGGAGGTATAATACTGCAATACTGTCAGATTAGTCCCAGCCTTTTCAAGACACTAAAAGTGAACAGCTTATCTATATGAACATGTTTACCGAAAAGAGGCAATTATACTGCAAGAAACCATTAAGTGAACATCGAGTGGGACAAATTCAGTTCAATGCAATAGTCACACTTCATAACTGCATTGATTCACACAAGGAAAACATCTGGTTTCAGTGCATGCAGAAAAGTAACATCAAAATCTGCTACAACATTGCATTATGTTATAAAGGGCATAAATTACATGATCTATATGCACATCACAAACCACACATTTACAAACCACAAAGCAGACAGATCTTGAAACTTAATACATCTTCAGTTTTACTCTTCAAACTTTCCTTCGAGAATGCTTTCAAAGGAAAAGGGAACAAACTTGTAACCAGAGCCAGAGTAGAATTTGTTTTGGAACTCAATCCTGTGAAGTCAAAAAGATATTCGTTAAATATCTCATAGATGGTAGCGTTATGGCTGAAAAAAAATTTAGATATCAACTTTGAATTATAACTGGCCACAGAGCACTGCTTTACTATACCATTATATTGTGCTATACATGTAGCACAACATAGACAGATGACCATGAATTCAAATACAACAGAGGTAGTTGTGCTGTGGTAGATCAAATACGCAAGTTTAAGAAGTTAATCTGAAATTCTGGCTGATGGCTCAGTTGAAACAGCAATGGAATATCAGGTGAAATGAAGTAAACCATTAGAGAACGTAATTTAGAGGCAACTGACCAGAGCTGTTCTATAATTACTCAGCGAAATGAAAGTAAAATAACGCAAGGGGTCTCACACACTACCCGTAATTACCAGGTGGCCAATGAGAAAGATTGCTGTCCAATTTCTCAGACTATGAATGGCTTGCTTTGAATAAAGGGGCCCGAACTGATTCAAAAGCCAGTTTAGAAACCAGCTGGTGAAAAACAGGTTTTATTTCTGCTGATATCTCAAATATTGTGTAAAAACAAAAAACAAAATTTTTCTGGAAAGTTGACCCTGTCCATATGCACACTATAAATGAAGGGAAGAGAAAAGTATTTGATCTCAAAAGGATGGTTTCGTACACTATTGCTGAAAGAAATATTGATGTCATATTTCCAAACCACAAAAAAGCAAGACAATGTTAATTAAAGGAAAGTACAATCTGTTCCATAAAGCAAATTTATTGATGAATCAGCAGGAAGGAATGCAAATTCAATAAATGTTCTTCCAATGAAAGATGATTCTCAGCAACATGAAGGAAATTACAATATAGCAATTTTCCTTGCAAAAAATGTTTTTGCAAGTATCAAGACACAAGTTTAATTAACCCAACATATAATTCAGATTATTTTTATATAAATTAATATCTACATTGATCACATCTGCTCATCCTCCCAGACACAAACACAACAGGAATGAGTATCACTTAATGAACTAATTACATCACCAAAAGACAAAAAGGTCATCCCATAGACCTTTCTAGGAATTCATCTGGCAAAGGCATGGCTGCTCTAAGATATGCTTTGGGTCTGTTTGAAACACAAGCATTGCTCCAATATCCAGTCACTAATTTCTACAAAATTCCTGCAATTATGCAATGTAATCAATCCAGATTTTAGGAACAGATTTGATCTCAAATAGTTAGTTTACTATTTTTAAAAGACAGTCATTCCAAAAATGAACTAAGACCACTGTTTTGAAGTATCAAACGGAAGGTGCACTTTAGGCTTCACTGTAACTAAACTTTCATAAGTGCAGGTAAAATAGAAAATGTTTCTCTGATATTGCAAACTCTGGAGACAACAGATACTCTACAATGGAGCAAGCAGACGTTATAGTTAAAAATAAATCCCAGCTACTGTAAAAGCATTAATATGATTAACACAAATACTTTTGGACAGTTCATACTAATTATGCTTTATTATTCATTACTAACAAAACTTTTCCAACATGCATAAATGCACAAGATCTGCAAATTGACTGCTAGTACAACAGGAAAAATCAAGCAACATGGGTTAATAGGTGGCACATTAGGACAGCAAAATGTTCTTTGACTTGCATTTGTGTACAGCAAATGTATTGCGTATAGGTTGAAAACTGCTTTTCTGACAACCGAAAGGATATTCAGCAAAATAGATTCAGAACTCCCCCAGATCAGCTCCCAGTCGGTTGTATACACAGTAAGAAGTTTTCTTCAAGGTAAAGTACAATTTGGGCAGAGAAGTAAAAGGAGCCTAAATATGCTTGCAAATGTACAATAGTACCCTAAATTGATACTTCTAGTCATTATATTTTTTCAAAAAGTAGAAACTTCCTCTTCAAAGATTCTTCAAATGCACAGAAGAAACTTCACAAAAGTAAGTTTATAAATTTAGAACAATACCTTCTGAATTACTTTTCAGCAGGAACATTTGAAAAATAAACAAACAATCTTATCTTTAAAACAAGGAGAAAAAGTGGACATATGTTTAAGTATTATTGCAATCACATACACATATGCTTGTAACTTCAGTTGAGGTCAAATACTTAACCATTCAGAAACAAGAGTGAAATATCATAATGGACTACTTTCATACACAAAAGTGCACTGATTACTCGCCAAGAAAACAGTGTGTCAGTATACGCCCGTGCTTTAATCTGAGGGATGTGATCAACTTGGGGAATGTTTGAATTATTGCAATTTCATCCTACCAATTAGTTTGCCCGACGATTGTCTACAAGAAAATAGCCTCAACCAAATGGGAAAGGCTAAATTGTGTTGATTTAATACAGAAGCCAATTTTCTACAATCCAGATTTCAATTTCAGACTTTCAGAAATATTTTGTTTGCAAACAGTTGATTGATTTGCAATCAAAGGCTTCCAAAAATTCATGCCAATACTCATTCAAAAAACATGATACAATATTAAATATAAAAGGAAGAGAAAAGCTCATATGCATTGGGAGTCTTGTGCTATTTTAGCAAAAAAGTCCATTTACAGGTATCAAATTTATTCTTTTATAAATGTTGCAATTCTCTAGAAGGACATGAAGCATTCCAACACATTATGGACATCCAGCTGGTCAAATAACATACATCTTTTAGAAATGCGTGGGTATGTACGAAATCTGCTCAGCAGCCAAAACATGTGCATGAATGCACAGTGCTGAACAAGGCATAAATCAAGTGTTCTTCCAAGATAGGTCCACTCCTACTTACTGTCCACAAAGTTAAATGATCCCTTTTGAGAAAAGCTTTATTTTGATGCAAAATATGTTTAGTTATTTAATTAGTACATTTAGCTCTAGAATGTTTATACTCACTTGAAACTAAGTGTACATTAAAATAATTCTGAAATGCTACCCAACTCAGAAAAAGTGAATTTATAAAGCATCTTAGTATATCCAATGAATTAATATTTTTCAAAAATTTGAGGGGGTGGGGGAATGGTAAATGGTAAATAGACAAAAACAGTCAATTTGCATACAGTGCCTCAGCTTAAATGTGAGACATTCTGTTACCTGCACACCCTGGTACTAAAATGTCTGTCAAGATTTTATACTGAAATTCTGGATTTGCCAGTTAACCCTAACCCAATATATCCTCTACATATTGTAGGGGTTTGTAGGCCTATTTAAAAAAAGCAGGCAAGGTCATAACAGATAAGGAATTTGTAGCCTTGTTAAATGAATATCCCCAATTGTTAAGAGTGGTGCATGAAAAAATCAATGGTAGGAACTGATATTAAATCTGCCAAGATGGAAAACAAATGGTCTCAGAAAACAGTGCTAATGAAGATAGAAACCTTTATGTCCTGGAGATTTGTCTATCAGCATGGATTGAAATAAACAGTAGAGAAGATAGTTAAGGTTGAACATGGCTATTTCAACCATCAAACTGCGAGGGCAATAGTTGTACACAAATCATTGTGAAATGTTTACTGAGAGTTTGTGAACGTTTAAAACTCTATTGATGTATTTTATAACTGCTCAGCATTGTTCAGTGCAAAAGGTCACAAGTTAAAAGCTTACTGAAATAAGGCAAAAAATTAACAGAAAATGAAAAAGTTAAGTCATGCTGTACTTTTAGTTAATTACAGAAATCAGAGCAGGAAAAAAAAAGGAATCTAGAGTTTTTTATTTCACATATGAGAAATGCAATGGTCATCTGATGAAGCCCCAGTTGTATCATTAATCAGCAAGGTTAGTGTTTAATTTGGAAGCCAGAAAATTGGGAGTATAGTCTATTTCAAAATGCTGAAGCAAATAGGCTGCTATAGCAGAACAGACCGGAACAAGTTCATGAGATGGTATGTCAGACAATTTAAAAAAAGTAAAATTCAATAGGATGGCAACACTAAACAATGATACCTGACATTTTAGTTTTTTTTTTAAAATCTATTCAGTGAATGCTTCTATGACCAAGAGGACAGGCAGACTGCAAATCATGTCACTGATCAGCTTAAAAGGGTGATTCGCTACAGTTCTTAATATTCTTGTAACGTTTTTGTTGCTTGCTATCAATGGATACAGTCAATCGTTAGTCTCAGAGAACATGGCCACAGATTGTAACTGCTTCAACTAGATTGAACTGAGTTAATGAAGCAGCAAATAAGATGTACGGGAATAACTAAACACATTTCATTGAATGAGTTACCTGTATAATCACCGTTAACAACCAAAATGATTACTCTAATTACACAATACTGATAAAAACAACAATGCAGCTGAAATGTTCTACCAGAAGGGTACCTAGGCCTATGAAAATATGTCCAAGGATATACTCCACTCAGGTTAATGGTCTAAAATAATTGAGATTTAGCTCAACTATAGTTTCCAATATAACATCGGTTGTTGAGAAGTTTAAAACATAAATGCTATTTTAAAAATAACAAAGCGTAGAGCTGGATGAACACAGCATGCCAAGCAGCATCAGAGGAGCAGGAAAGCTGACGTTTCAGGTCTAGACCCTTTTCTGAAGGAGGGCTGGCCAGACAGAGCTCATTATCAGCCTCAGGAACCATGTGAAGAAAGCAGTTTAATTGACAAAGTTTATTTTGTAGGGCCTTAAATTCTGAAAAATTTGCTGGTCTTAACATCAAACATAAGGACTATCAAGGCATTCAGTGCAAAATTCAGGTTTCATAGTAAGAAATACAAAACAAGTATCCATGTTCCAAGATAACAAGGTGCAGGGCTGGATGAACACATCAGGCCAAGCAGCATCAGAGGAGCAGGAAGGCTGACATTTCGGGCCTAGATCCTTCTTCAGAAAAACGGTCTAGGCCCGAAACGTCAGCTTTCCTGCTCTGCCTGCTGCGTTCATCCAGCTCTACACCTTGTTATCTCAAATTCTCCAGCATCTGCAGTTCCTACTATCTCTATCCATGTTCCAATCCTGTTCTGTACTAAACCATCAGATTCCTATCTGGGTGACAGCAGGTCAGTTGGATCTGATATAACTAAACAGAGGAAAATGGTGATGAAAAAGAAAATGGTCAGCACTTCCACTCATTCGAACAGCTGATAAAGTTCCCTCATGGAGATGTTCAGAATTTTATGGCACAATGATGATAATGTGACTCTTTGCATTTGCTTTACAAGAGCTAACCACTTAATCCAAAAACTGATTTAAAAGTTACTTATTCTAATATATGCCAAGTTGACATTTTAAAAATAATTATGACTCTTTCATCACTATAAAAAAATACTGATTTGTACAACATGGTAACCTCCTCCTATGCCACAATTCTCATCTGTGGACATACAGTGACATGAGGCTCAGCTCTGACATTCCCTTGGGTCAATCCTTCAGTTGATACCATCTAGGCTCCTGCAGAAAAGAATCACATACAGTCCCCATTGCTCTCTGGGGAAAGAGAATTCCAGGGACTAACAACCCTCAGAAGAAATTCCTTCTCATTGTCATCAGTAACGGTAGACTTCTACTGTTGAGACTTTGCTCCGTTGTTCTAGATTCCCCCAGAGGGGGAAACATCCTCTCAGCATTTATTTTGTCAATGTACAAAGTTCTGTATATTTCAATTAGATCACTTAGCATTTTCTGAACAATATTGCATAAAGGCCTATCCTGCGGAGCCTAAGATAATTCTTTCATCCATTGAATCAGCTAAGTCTCAAAATTATATCTAATACAACAATACTCTTCCTTAAGAAAGGAGTCTAAACAGTCTCCACAGTACTTCAGGTGCAATCTCAGTCAGGTCCTGTAAAGTCATAGCAATACATGCGTGTTTTTAAACTTCATTCCCCTTGCAATAAAGGGCCAAAGCCTAACATTTTATTTGCCTTCCATTTGGTTACTGTACCCTGCATGTTTTTTTTTTGTAGTTTATACACTAGGACACCTTGATCCTTTTGTAACAAAGGGAAATCCAGCTGACTATAACAGTTAAGGTTGCCATCCTATTGGTTTGACTTATAATATTTAAAAATGTGGATTTTCTATGCCTTCTAGAAATCTGTGGCATGCTACAAGTTGAACAATATTTAGCATGTTACCTTCACACATGATACAGCATTCCTATCAACTGTTAAGTTTAGAGGTCAGTGATGAATTGAAAGTTGAATCAAGTTTTACTTAAAAAGTCACACAAGTCAACTATAAAACATATGAATGCACTTCAACTCATTCCAAAAATCTGAAAAGACACTCTCATACCACTTAAGAAACCCATAATTTAATTTTCCTCAAAACAGAGTGACTCACCAAAATCAATACATGGGTGCAAGACAGTGAGACTAATGACAAGAAGCATAATGTCCCCTGCCTCCATATGATTAAGTGTTTATCCTCCCAAGCATTTACATTTGTTAAGATGGCTGAATTTCCAACCAACATTGATGGTGATGGAGCTCTGTTGGTAGGACAGCCAAAGATCAAAGGGATGCCTTTTCATTTTGGAAACAGTCACGATCTGACACTATGAACATTAACCCTTCTCGCTAGCCTAAATCTGAATGTCATCAAGATTCTGTGGTTGGCTGGTAAAGCGAACAGAACACTCATCATAAAGTAGAACTTAACATCGTCAGCCAATGCACTCATTTAGGTACAAATCAGAATTGGACAAAGTAGGAACTGCTGATGCTGGAGAATCTGAGATAACAAGGTGTAGAGCTGGATGAACACAGCAGGCCAAGCAGCATCAGAGGAGCAGGAAAGCTGACGTTTCGGGTCTGGCCCCTTCTT